AATTACATCCTTTTTAAAAAAAAAAGAAAAACAAAGAAAGGCAAGAGACACACTTCAAAGGGTCCAGGACGCAGAGATCTCCATGTTCCTGGACTTTCTTGTAAAACTCATTTTAAAGTGAGTCAACACTGACAGATTATACTTACGTTGTGGTTAACACAAGCAAAATGTCAGAAACAGGTGTGCAAATGATGAATTAGTGGAGTTTTTGTTTTTAATAAGATGACTGGAGTTTTAGAATCAGCAGCTGGCTGTGTGAAGCTTAGGAAGWGGGAATGCAACAAAAAAAAAGAGAAAAGATTTCCCCCCCAACGTTTCACTGTAAACCAGCAATTATTGGGGAAGTAGTAATAATAAATTAAAGCAAAAATAAATAAGTAAAATCTCTTCAGGACGGATGTTGCCGATAAAGCTGCTTAAAATCTCTGATTCTGTTTGCAGCAGATTAAAGTTTGAGTCTGTAACCTGCTACCTGAACAGGTATTCTAGGAAACTGAAGGAGCGTACTTTAAGATCCTCAGTTTCTTACAGGCACAGTGAGCCAAAAGCCTTTTTTGTCCATAGAAACTTCATTAAATTTAATTTGATTTGCGTCTAGCATGTTGTCTTTAAGCATAAAAAAGAAACAGAATGAAAATAAAAAAACATCAAAATCAAGGACTGAATCTGCAACAATAAATTATTTCTTCAGAGTGTTTTTTTTCCTGGTTATTGTAAGATGAAAGACAACAGGAAGTGCCAGTCACAGTGCTGTTCATCCCAGAGAGGAAAAAAACAAAAAACAGAAAGAGGAGGGAGAATAATGCAGAGTCCTGAAGCTACATCTTCCTTCCTGACTGCACAGCCCCCTCTGTACCCTGACCCGGTCCAAGACGGGGGGAGTAACTGTGTCCACGTTGGATCTTCCACCTGTCCTTCTAGGAGACGGGAGTCCGGGCGTCAGGWGGCGCGATGTGGAAGACGGAGCCGATCCGCAGGAAGAAGCGCCTGAGCACGGCCCGCAGCTCCGGGATCAGGTCGAACTGCATCATTTCACACAGGTGGGGGTAGTAGCAGGAAGCATGGGGCCTAAACTAAAGAGGGAGAAAGGTGCTCGTTAGACACTGACGAGTCCGCTCAAACAACGGCTGAAAGATCAGAGATACAAACAGAATCTTGTCAACAGAAAACAGCTGTGAGCGTCCTGTCCTGCAGGCCTGAGCTGCATTCCTGCAAACAACTCGACAACAGAAACACTTTCTGTTCATGAAGTGGTTTTCTGCTTCGGTTTGACTTCTTTTAGAAGCTGTAAGAGTTCGGGCCTAAAATGCTCAGAAAAGAAACCCTGAGTCATCGAACTGACTCATCGGTGACTCATCAACTCATGCTGGGAAGGCCTGATTCATGGCTGACAGCTACTGGAAAAATACGTCCTAAAAACAGTTCATATATTACTTTAMAAATAATAACTTTTTATTGTTTTCATCTGTTTCTTTTTCCCAATCCAACAACTTCTGTATATTTATTGCTATTTTAGTCAATTATATATGAAAAATATTCAGCTGATTTAGGACAGCAGCTGTGACTTTTTGAATACTTTTCAAAATTTAACTCTGTATACAAATATTTTCACCACAGGTTTAAAAAGAAATCTCTTCAAAAACAGTCTCTGAAAATCTGCTTCAGAAAAACTCGTGCTTGTTTTCTCATGCTACTTCTGGCTTCTAGCTAACAGTTTGCTACATTTGGCGCCTCGCTAACCTGCTATGTGTAGCTTCTAGTGAGCCTTTGGCTACTTCTGCCTTCTTGCTAACTGCTACATGTGGTGTTTAGCAAGATTTTTGCTATTTTTGACTTCTAGGTAGCCTTCTGGTAAATTTAGTGTCTAGCTAGCATTTTGCTACTTTTAAGTTCTAGCTAGTCCTCTGCTACTTTTGACATCGAGCTAGCCTTATGCTACTTTGGACCTCTAGCTAACCTTCTGCTACATTTGCTCTCTAGCAAGTCTTGATACTTTTGGCTTTTAGCTAGCTTTCTGCTACATTTGGTGTCTAGCTAACCTGCTATGTGTAGCTTCTAGCGAGCCTTTGGCTACTTCTGGCTTCTAGCTAACTGCTACACTTGGTGTTTAGCAAGCTTTCTGCTATTTTTGACTTCTAGCTAGCCTTCTGGTAAATTTATTGTCTAGCAAGTCTTTTGCTACTTTTGGAATCAAGCTAGCCTTCTGCGTAATGTGGCTTCTAGCTAGCCTTTTGATACTTTTGACTTCTAGCTAGCTTTCTGTTACATTTGGTGTCTAACTAGCCTTCTGCGTAATGTGGCTTCTAGCTAGTCCTCTGATGCTTTTGACATCGAGCTAGCCTATGCTACTTTTGACTTCTAGTCTTCTGCTACATTTGTCTGCAAATTCTAGATTTTAGRTAGTTTTCTACTACTTTTAGCTAGTCCTTTGCTACTTTTAGCTTTTAGCTAGCGTTTTGTTACATTTTGTTGTTTCTACAGTTTTGCTACTTTCAGCTTCTATGTGCTGTTATGCTACTTTTAGCTGTTTTGTACCACTTAGCTATTTTTGTCTGTTTTTAATTTGATTAAAGCAGTTTCAGCTTTTTTGACAATTTTTAGCCAAGTCTCTCGGTGCTTGGCACGGACGCTGCATTTTCACAGAGAAATTTAAGTTAATATTTAGTTCTCTTTTGAAACCCAGATAATTAATTTATTTTTAAATCACACAAACACTGGAACACAAACAGCCCTGACTGCCTGTCCTTCGGCTGATGTTTGGAGGACTGTTTGTGCTTCTTGCCTTGTCGTCAGGCAGCCGTAGCGTCCTGGTGAGCAGCAGCATCAGCAGGATGTTCCAGGCCTCTCTGTGGCTCTCTGAGGTCAGACTGATGAAGTAGCTCAGAGCTTCAGTACACACTCTRAAAACAACAACACAAAGTTACACACTGTTCTAATATTCAAACCTGTCTTTATGATCAGAGGTTTTAGGCTCATTCTGTGGAGCTCCTGCAGGTTTTACTCACAGCAGCAGGCGTGTTTGGATGTCAGGCCACGAGTCCTGCAGCTTGGGGTCAGAGTACATCCTGAACAAGATCCTCAGGCTGCAGGCGAGGCTGCTGGTTTCCTGCTTCAACAAGTTGGGTTTAGATTTACCCTTAAATCCTGAGAGCAGAAAGAGAGAAACGATAATGTAGGGAAGAATTTTATGAAGTATAAAACCCTGAGGACTTTAGCGTTGGGCTAACCTGCCCTCCAGAGGGCCGTCCTCTGCTCGTTGTTGGAGTTGAAGTCCTTGGCGAAGTTGTGCGACTCCAGCAGGCAGTCGAGCAGCTTGAAGAGGTGAGATGATGTCATGTACGGGTACATGCCCTGAACTTTAACCGGCCCGTCTCCATCCGCCTCCACCTCCTCCAGAGCGTCCCGCTGGAGAACAGTTAACCAGTCAGACGAGTGTTTTACATCACGTCTCGTTACAGTTACACACTTCCTCAAAGAAACTAATTTCAATAAAATCTGTCGACAAACACAGGATCGAGCAAAACCAAAAGAAGCTTTCGACGTCAGCAGCCGCCAATAAAGCATGTTTTAAAGGGATCCCTGATTAGTTGTAACATTAGACTGTATTTGATAAAAATATTTTAACTGTAAAATAAAGACTGTAAAAATACTGTAGGCTGTTTTGTTTTGTAAATT